TATATATATATATATATATTATATGTATTTATATATATATATATATAAATATTTTTATTGCACCTTTCACGAGGGTGGTTATATTATATTTAATCTATTTTACAAGAACATATTTAACTAACGATCCCGGTGTACGACGCGTGTGTCATTACTCTTCTAATTATATATTCCCATATATCTCGATAGAGAGAGAGTTAGCACCTAGCATGCATAATAATTAGAGCGTATGTATTCCCGATATGCGTGGAACGTTTTTCGGAACGGGCTGTTTTACTCGCAGCTATTACTTGTACATAAATTTGATTTTATTTCGGAGATAATGTTGATACACCATCACACAAGCCGAATACCTCATAGTATCTATGAAGGTGTAAACGCTGCTTTTACATCAATAAAAAAAACCAATATTACATTTATAAAAATTTTCTTCCATGGAGATTTTATTGCATTATACAAGCATCGGCGCAATCAACTTTAGCGTTAAATTTTCAAATATTACATATATATATATATATATATATATACACATGCATATATATATGCATATATATATGTAACCAAAGTGATATATTTATCGAGATGTGCCTTTAATTTATATTTTATTTCAAATCGCCAAGTATATGGTGAGTACGCATGTGCCCGCGATTATCCTTCCTTTTTTTATGTTATTTTTTTTCTTTTCTGTATGTTTTTATATAATAACATTCTCGATTGATCCAACAGCGAACGCTATTATTACTACGCGTCGGTCGGCGGAACCTTCTCATGCCGTGTCATTTTATTTGCACGTATCCGCACGTGCGTAGTTCTACCAGCATCAACTCTGAGAGTTGCGCGTTAGGTATCTTTTAGCTAGGAATACAACGAGAGACTGAACAGATCTTTGAGATTATGGGCCTTAATCGGTGCATAAAATAGGCAATGCACAAAGTGATACTCGAATGCATAATGTGATACTCGAAGGGATTTTTACGGTTTCCCTTATGTGCGTCTTGATTATCTTGGAATAACACAGATAGTTACGCATATCTTTAATATTTAAAGAAATATACTTGAGAAATGTGTCGAGTATAGTATTACAGATCTATAATTGATCCTATTACGGATATAGCGTTAAGAATCTCCTTAAACATCTAACGATGACACGAAGTAAATTTTATTCGATCATCATTTCAGAATTAGTTTACATGACATGATACGCAGGTACGTCTCATGAAGTAATTTGACACAATTTAACGTATCTCAACCGTAGCAAGCAGCTTCGTTCTTTTGCGGAATGTGCGAGCAGCTCTTATCGTAAAATGGCAATCGTGTGTATTTTCGATTTTTAACTCCTGTGTTATTCTGTGATACAACCGCGACCGAGTCGCGGTTCTGATTGTTACGGATTATTTAATTTATTAGCTTAATTTTCTCTGTCATAGAGTGGTAAATACAGATGGAAGTAATGCGTCGACGAAGTATCGATAATGATATAATTACCTGATAGCGATTACGTGATATCATAATAATTGAACGGCGTGTAGTTCTCTACAGTGGTGTAGTCTTAGATCTTACTAATGCCCTTTTCCTTCTCTTTTAGGTGATAATTATATAAATTGTGGTTATACGAATGATCAATAATCTATGATTAATGGCCGCGATAGCAAATTCGGGACCACCACGTTACCGAGATTCTATGTTTTTTCTCTCTCTCTTTATTCAATACTCGTGCAATCTCCCCGTGTCATGCGTGTACAATGATTTCCTGTATTTTCTGCAGATTAATTTTGTACGACAATTCGCGGACGACGGATTCGCGCGTTTGCGAATAAAATCCCTCACTGCGTAAAATCTCCCCTGTTTATATATCTCACCGGAACATTCAGCCATCTGTAATTTACCGCGCGCGAACATATCGCATTGTGTATGAGAATGTGTACCTATTTATATATATACCTGTGTATTTGTACTTATGCCTTCTCGAAAAAGAGGAAAAAGAGAAAAAGAAAAGAGAAAAAGATCATACTTCCTATTTAGATGTAGCAACGTTCAGATCAATGCCGAAGTAAGATATCAAGCGAGGGCTTACTTCGCGACGTCATTTTAGAATTAATTGAATCTTTCTTGAATTTCAGAAAGTACGGAATAAAGAGTATTTTTCAGCTACACCTCTCGTCTCTTCTGTCTTTCCCCCTCTGCCCCCTCTTGCGTCGGCCGGACATCTCGAGTCATTAGCAACGACGTATCCTTGTAACTTATTGCGATGCGTCATACGGTATTGTACGACACATCGAGGAGGAATAAGCGCGTAACTACTGCGCTTTATAAATATGCATGAAAAAAAGTTCCCTCCCGGTGTCAGCCGCGCAAAATGGAATCGTGGAAACTGGCAGAGCTCGAGCGAATCACGTGAATAACGTGGAACATAACGCGCGTGCGAAGCGTGAGCGTGGTTTCCCCTCAATTACAATCGATTATGTGATTATGTCCGATGCGTGTGCCGCTTCAATCTCGAGTAACCGTAAATACAACTATAAGAATAATAACATGTGGTCATACAGGAGGATAAGGGATTAATGAAATGGTTGTGTGTATATATAGTGCGCATTTTTAACATGTATACAGCTGTGCAGCACAGATGAACGCTGCGCATAACGCTAATTTTAGAACTGTTTTATAATCTTGATACAACATATTGAGATCGAGATCGCAAAAGCTGTTGTTGATATTATCAATGTTCAAAATCGCTGTTATTCACGGAAAATTGTATGTAACAATATCATGAGAGATATTAGAAACAAGTTATATAAAATATCGGATGTATTTTATATTCGATATCAACTTGTAATAATAACGTCAAGACAGAGTCTTCAAATAGCTCCAAAAAACTATGTTCTACATTAATAATCATCAAAATCATTCTTTCAGAAGACAAAATCACGTTCAATAATAATTAGAAAATATTAGAAGCAGGTTGGAACGTTAATTTAGCTTAATAAAGCGTTAAGAATACGTCTGCCACCTCGTTCTTAAAATTTCTTCCGCACGATCGCAAGAGACAGAGGCGAAAATCGGGTCAAGAGACCGGGTCTCCAGTCGTCCGACGATTCGACGCTTTCAGGACACCCTGTACAGCGTTCCGGTACCGAAAGCTGCAACCAGAGAGCGACGATGGCGAAGTGGTTGCAGACGGTACAGGCGCAGACGCGAGCGGCCTGGTGAACGAACGAACGAACGAGCGAGGCTCGCTTGGTAATCAATGGCATGGCAGGGTGACTCGCGACCGTCTGACCACAATCGGTGCAGTACGCGGTGGACGTACACGGGGAAACCACCGCTTCTTACACTCTCACCGTTCCTCACGTAACCCTGAGGAGGATCGTAAATACGGGCCTTAAAACTGAAGGAGAATCGCGATCAGCTGCGCTGCGCGTCTCGGATTGCGCGACGACGGACTAGTCGCGTTGCCAACAGGCTCGTTATCACAAATAAGCGTCGGTCGCGTGACAAAGGCGTCGCTTTTGTGAGAAAAAACGAGAGAGAAAGAGAGAGAGAGAGAGAGGAAATTCGGGAGAAGCTAATTCTCGCGGTGCGCGACGATACCGTTGTGACATCGGCCCACTCGTGAGTCGAATCGTCGCGATTGAGCGCGAGGAGAGTCGGTCGGATCGCACTGGGGGGTGGACCATGAAACATGGATACGTCGCAGGTCGAAAACGGCGCGACTTCGGAGGAGAGACGTAAGGAAGGTACGTGCGACTCGCAATTCGAGCTTGCCCACGAGCCCCGCCGGGCGGACTCCCGGTGCTTCGTCAGGGTCGCGCGGGGTGTCTCGTACGACCCGACCCGTGGATCGTTGTCGTTACGTTATCGCGCGTAAGACGACCGCTTCGTGCGCGGCCGATAATCCAATTGTTTCATTATTCGTTCGTTTTGCGAATCCGGCTGCGAAGTTTTGTTGAAATCGCATTGTCGGAGAACGGAATACGTTCATATACTTGAATATTTATTTATTTACGCGTGGAATTATTGCACGTAAGTTGACAAGTGAGTAAGCGAAATGCGAGAAAAAAGCGTAAACTAACATGGGATGTTAAGTCTGCCAAATAGATTTTATGGTGAAATTGAAACGAAAATTGCTTTTACTCTTACGAAATATTTTCTTATATTATTATTATTATCACGAAATGATTACATACGAAATTATTAATAAATTATTATTATTTACTTATTGTCACGAAGTTCCTTATTTTTTGAAACAAGGAACCAATTCGAATTATAAACTCGGGACTCATCGCGATGTAATTCCGGTTTTAGACGGAAATATCTCCCGATCCCGGATGTTGAGATATCTGAGATGTGTGGAAACACACCCTGCGCGACGATTCTCGAGTTAAATGCACTTATCCGCCGGACTGCATGCTTCCATCCGAAAATAAATACTTTTAGTTCTATTGATCTTGCGCTTCTCCTCTCACACACACTCTCTCTCTCTCTCTCTCTCTCTCCCTGTCTCTCTCTCTCTCTCTCTCTCTTTTTCTCCTGGTAATTGCGCATTTGCTAATAATGCTTGCGATAGCGGTACAATGCGTCATCGAATTTGTGTGTTCGTCCTGTGTAGAACCCTTGTTAATTTAATTATGTTTGCGTAAACGCAGCACCGCGCCAATGCCGACACGATTTTGTTCGCTTCATTTCGGGATTCGAGGCCAGTTTAATTACCTAGCTGTAGGTATCCATCCGATCGCGTCGCGTTACCTCCGCACTCTCGAGCTCATAGGGAGATCGAGAGATACGAGAGAAAAGAAAAACACATCCAGGGATTGTATCAATTTCGAGACGGAAGACTGAACGTTTTTATTTCGATTTTATTTCGACGAGACCAGATCTCTTTAGAAGTGCGCGCGTGCAACTTTGGCGTTCGTTCCGACCGAGACACGCGAAAAATCAGCACGTTTCCTTAAGCCCGTGTCAGAGTGATTTTTGCAAATGGAGGATTGCGGATTAGGGATTTCGAATTGGATGAACCACCTGATGTCGATCTCGGGCCGCTCGGTTCCGATTGATCAATCGTTCCAATCTTCAATCGGCAACCCTCGACTTCCAACATCTCAACAGGGCCGGTCTCCACCAACTCCGGTTAACTTGATCGGTCGATTAAGATTAAGAGTTGTAACTGCAACACTTAAAACTGCCATTGCCAACTAATCATCACCGACGACTTATGAATTCTTGAGAACCCATGTAACACAAATGTTCAATAGACGTCCTAGGAACGTTCCAGGAATATTCGAACAAGTCTTGTCGCTGGCAACTTTGAAATTGATTAATCTATAATTAATCGACCGATTAGCTTAACCGAAGTCGAGCGAGACCAGCCCCTAATCCGGCATGGGCTTCGCGTTATCCGCGCGTAATCGAGCTCTTTTATTTTCTATTTTGTTTCTCTCTTGAAAAACTCACACAGATCCCTGTATGTGTATTGGAGCACGGTTGGTTGGTTGGTTCGTTCAACCCCGCAAACGTTGAATTATTTTCAGGCTATGAACGGTAACGAACAGGGATCTCTCGAGCGTGTCCGCGTACGCGATAGACGCCGATCGCCGGTCTTAACCGAGTAGCTAATGCCGAACGCGTACAACACCTCGCGTGATGTTCGCCGCGAGTAAGCGCGCACACGTACACGCCACGCATACGCACACATGGGGAGGTGAATTCGCCGAACCAACACCGGGTTCAATCGCCGAATGTGGGCGTTGAACGTGCATCGATTCTGGCGAGCGCCGAACACATGTATGTATCGCTGCTGCACGCCCGCGAACACGTCGGGAGATCAACAAGTCGTGCACACAAACCGCCAAGTCGCACCGAGAGCTTCGCACGAGCCGGTTGCTCGAAGCGACGGCCGTCGTGTTACGTGCCGCGACCACGCGATCTCTAACGACCTCAAGTCTCAGAGCGCGAGCATGGAGAGCGGACAGGTCGGTGAAGTACCGACCATATTCCACCCCCGACGATCGCTCATGTCCAACGTGATCCTCAGCGAAGATCAGCAACGTAGCTCGTTCCTCAGTCCCGTCCAGATCGTCGTCGAGCTTGTCGACGCTTCAGGTAAGTCGGCTGCGTTTCAACGCGCAGGTCGTGCTGAACCCATCGGGTGCCCTGCCAACGCGCACTTACCAGATGAATAAAGAGAAACCTCGGAAGATCAAACAGCCGTTTTGATCTCGATTTCATTCTGAGGCACTCCGTCGAGATTTTACGATGTTCTTGCGACCACGATCGAGGAACCTCGCGATGATGGTTGCTTACTGATGATTATACTGTTTAATCCGTTCTAAAGCACTTTCACTTTGCCGGGTTCTTGTTTGAAGCGAAATTTAATTTTTCGTTTGGCTCTAATCAGTTCTTGCTTCATTACGGTTTCAATTAGACGCCCTGAAAGAAAAGATGCTGCATTTAAGTAAATATCTGCTAAGGAATATTGGGACAATTATTTTATTTGGATTAAATAAATATCACTTGAATATACTGAAGTACACTGGAAGAAAAAATATTACATTCAAGTAATATTTACTTAATTCAAATGTAAAATAATTACTGTCATCCTTATATATTTACTTGAATGTAATATTTTTTTTCAGTGCAGGTATAAATTACAAGCAACTGTTAGCATATTTTCGATTTGCTAACTCGACCCGACTTAGCAATGTTCTACTAATCATTGCCATATTAAAAAATTTATAGTATACACGCTGAAAAATAATTTTGCTGTTGTAGCAAAACAACATCGTTGCGGCTGCATATTCGTTGACACCGATAAAATTTAGTTGATATAACCAAATTAACAAATTATTCGCGATTAGAATAGAAACAATTTTGTTTCTAGGATAGAAAATATTCTGTTGAGGGAATTTGTCCGCAGGATCAGTTGCTGTTAGGACAAAATAGTGTTTTTTTCTACAGCAAAGTGATTTTAAATTCATCAAAGTGATCCTGCGAATGGCAATTAGTATTCTTAACAAAACATTTTGCTGTCCACACAATAACTGACAGATTTTGCTACGACAGTATAAAACGTATTTGCTGTATGAGCAAATTTTTTTTCTCCGTGTACGTAATGCGAACTATAGATTTTAGCATTAGTAGTAATTAGTGGAAGGCTGTTGGGTCAAGCCAGCAAATCGAATACGCTACATATGTTTCGAGAATAAAATTAAAAACATCGATTGAACTTTCGCCGGGAAAACCAATTTCAAAGCCGCAGAATTTACGATTAAAAAAGGGCACACGGTGGGTAGAAGACATCCTGTGTGACGATCGTCGATGAGTATGTTCCGATATCAATTGGGGAACGCAACTGATCTAGCGGGGTTGGATCCATAGCTTCTTCTAGTATGTAGAGTATTTACGAGAAATTTAGTGCTGCAAGTAAAACTCCGCATTAGCATCTTATTATTAGTATTAGTCTTAGCATTAGCATTCCGGTATCGTTAAAACGCTCGCGTGCACATAATATTTCGATTTTGCTAAGCGTAGTTTGCATAGCATAGAAGCCAGACTGGACGAAAAAATCGCCAGACACGCTTGACCAAAACTGCACACCGAGTAGTGGAATTACCAAGACGGAATATCGCGTTCCATTTAGAGATCTTGCGTTTTTGGAGGACGCACACATTCGTACACACGCACCCGTACACGCAGCTTCGCTCGCAGATAGGAACGACACGATTTAGACTTTCTCTCTTTTATAATACATTCATCACCGCCGTGCGTTCAAGTGTATAACAACCTAAGAGTAGCGATCGTGTAGTTTTTCATTAGGAGAGGAAACGTGACAAGTTCACTTAAATTCGACGATTGCGTGTATTTATTTTAATTTAACTCGATTTACTTTATTCTATTAGATTTTTCTTCATCTATTTGTCTTAATTATAACTCATTTTATTTATATTAAGTAATAATAATAAGTGATATTTTTTAATGACACTACTAACATCCGTGTTGGACTCCTAAAGGCTTGTTAATTCTGTCAATTCATCTAATTTCATTAAAATTTTCTTATTTCATTAAATTTTATTTTCATTCGATCGAATTTTGTAAGGTTTGTAATTTTTCGAGTTACGAAAATATAAAATTTTTCACGCGAAACCACCGACTTCTCACATTTCCGCTTCTAAGGGAAAGTGACACGATCGCCACCCTGAAGTAAAAACACACGCTGCGTACTCGGCGACTCTGACTCCTTCTGCACGCGAACAAAGTTCGGCAGAGCCGGAAGTACCTCCGCGGGCGAATTCTGTCGGATCGCCGACGCAATTCGTGATCTCGAGGCGCGGCGAGGCACCTGTCCGCCGTGGTTTCCCCGCGGCGGAGGGATTCACGGCCCGGATGTTTCAGGATGCGAACAGCAGCAGCAGCAACAGGGTTGTGGCGTAACCGATGGATGCGGCGATTCCGCGTCGAGCTGCCGCACCTTGGAGACCACCGGAAGTGCCGTGGGAAGCGGCGGTACCGGCGGGGGTGGTGGTAGTGGTAGCGGAAGTGTGCAAACTCAGCCGACGGGTCAAAGTCAGACGTCGACTCATGTGACCCCGACTCCGACCCCGGTCGCTCAACAGCCACAGCAGCCGCAGCAACCGCAGCAACCGAGCTCACTCTCGGCCTGCTACGCTTCCTGCTGCGCGGAGAGTGCGAAGAAGGTCGATAACGTCTCCAAACTCGAGTCGAATTGAGAGTTGAACTCGTGTCAGATTACAACGGATTGGAATTGAGATTGGATTGAAATTTGACCGATCAGACTCTCAGCTCAAATTTATTTGAGTTTAGTTTCGTTTAATCAACTTTGCTCTGGTTGGTCAAACTTCCAATCGAATCTCAATTCTAATTCGCAATTTAATACGGGTTTTAGAAGTCGCGTTACGATCGATTCGCGCCACGGGCAGTCAAACGATCTGGCTTCTTCCCTTTCTTTTGGTGTATTGAAAAATGAATTTAGTTGAATCGAATTTGATAATGGACAACCACACAGAGAAAAGTAATTTTACTTTATGCCGTAGCAGCAAAATTTATCAGTTACCATGTGGACAGCAAAACGGTTTGTTAAGAGTATTAATTGTCATTTGCTGGATTATTTTGCTGAGTCTAAAATTTATTTTCTAGTAAAAATAAATCAATAGATGTAGGGGAACGGTAATTTATTATAACGGCAAATTAACGCGCACTAAAAACAAATTCATTCAGCAGAATATTTGCCATCCTGGCAACACAATTGTTTCTGTTCTAATTATGCATAATTAGCTGATTTGGTTAAGCCAATTAAATTTGATCGCTGTCGCACCGAATAGTCCAGTAGCAACATGATGTAGTCTCGCTACAACAGCGAAATTATTTTTCTCCGTGCAAACGCGCTTCTTGTCTGAAGAAAACAACTTTCCACTTGCAAGAACCAAATTTGGTCGAAACGAATTAGAAATTCTGTTTCTTTCAACGAAAACTCGTTTGATTGTCCGTCGTCAGATGGATCCAAGCGATCTCATTTTTCAGCCTGAGAAGAAAAACAAAAAAATAGAAAGAGGAGAAGAAACGAGCGAGCGATCGGGAGATTCGAATTAAGATGTCGCGCGAAAAGAGGCGTTTGGAAGAGAAACTCGTCCTCGCTTTGTCTCGGAATGAATGCGGAATTAACGTCGCGTCGGTATGATGCGCGTCACTCGGCTTGATTATTCTTCATTGCAGATTTACTTCGGAGTGTGCGTTACAATATGCGTAACTGCAAGCTGGGTCGGGGCGACCCACTGCATTAAGTATTTGTACTTTCATAAGCCGGACGCCGTCTCGCAGAGCTCCACGTCGAACACCTCCGTAAACGGACTTCATCATCAGCATGTAAACACCATATTTCGCACTCATAATTAATCTCGTTATTCGGTACGCTCTGAAGTTATTCGAGTCCTTGGAGACTCCCACTGGCTTCGCGTTTCACTTCGGCCGGACAATTCTCCCTTTGGAGTGTGCTCCTTTTCACTTATCGCTGGTTTGGAGATGTATGATCTTGAGAGGATCGTCTTGATGACATTGTCAGCCATTTAGATTCTTAAACTTAAAATGTCTGACAATTTCACCAGGACGATCTCTCGGAGACTTAAAGCTAATGATTTCATTTAAGGACTCAAATCCTTAAATCCCGAGTAAATATCAGAGGATTTAAATTCTTAAATTTCGCGGGAATATTTCAAGGATTTAAATCCTCAGATAAGAGGAATATCACGTCACGAGCGGGCAGGACGAACTCTCTTTCTACCACCTAGATGATTTATTTATTACAGATCATCCCGCCGTACAATGCGCCCTTCTTCACAACGTGGTTCTGCACTAACTGGGAGGTCCTGTACTTCCCGGTGTACTTCATCTGCCGCGCGACCACAACCAAGTGCGTCACCCCGTCCGAGATAATCGCGGAGAGCCTACGCGGCTTCCGCGACAAGGGCTTTACCGGTGGCCGCTTCTTGATCAGATGCAGCCTCTTCTGCGGTCTCTGGGTCATTACGAATTACATGTACATACATTCCTTGAGGATACTCTTGGCCACGGACGTGATGGCGTTATTCGCCACCAATGTCTCCTGTGTCTACCTGTTATCGTGGGTCATCCTTCACGAACAGTTTGTGGGCGTGAGGGTTAGTAATTCCAAGAGGAAATCTCGTTCATTGTATATTCTCTCGATCTAATATTATAGTATCGATCGGTGTCAATTCTTTAAATTCAATATTTATTCAATTAAATAAATAAATAAATTAATTAGATTAATTAATTCAATCAAATAAATTAATTCAATAGATGAAATTCAATCGACAGTTAGTGTTAGCGGAGAAATTATTTGGCGACGTTATAGGGGTATAATTGAAATAGTTAACAGAAATGACAATTCTCCTCAGAAAAAGAAGTGGAATCAACGAAATTTCGCTTAAACGAACAACACTTTTTCAAGCGTGTTTAGTCCATTGAATAGATTGTACAGTTATTGTAATGAGTTGTCAATTGACACAATGATTACGATTTAATCGGCGACTACATCAATATATCGTTGCGCGCAATATTCTTTTGAATATGAAAGGTGATCGTCGATTTTGCCGATCCAACGATCGTTTTTCTCAGTATAGCTGAGAATGCAAGGATTTGAATTGCAATCGAAATTAATGTGTGACCCTTGTAGATAGTCGCCGTGATCCTCTGCAACACCGGCATCGCGCTTCTCGCTTATATGGATGGTATAACCGGAAGCCCGACGTTGGGAGGTGTCGTTTTAGCGACGTCAGCGGCAGCTGGCTCTGCCGTTTACAAGGTAAAAAAAAACGGATAGAACCCGAAGTATTTATGATTCGCTATCACGAGACACCGAGTCCTCGCAGCGAAACGCTTCGTATGTTCAGGTGCTCTTCAAGAAAGTAATAGGCGAGACCACGTTCGGTCAAATGTCTCTATTTTTTTCACTCATCGGTTTGTGCAATGCCGCGCTCCTCTGGCCGATCTGCCTGGCTCTGTACTTCTCCGGAGCGGAAACCATGCATTGGGCTAGGCTGCCGTGGGCGACGTTACTCTCCGCTAGCATCCTCCATTTAGGTCTGAGTTCCGAGTCGAGCTAGATCGGTTAGATTCCTGATACTTCATACTCCCGGATTTTAACGTGCGCTTTTCCGACGGTCTGTTCACAGTCGCGAACATGCTCGGCAACTTCAGCATCGCGATCACCTACGACCTGTTCATCACGCTCGGACTGATAACGGCTGTACCCGTGTCCGCTGGTGAGTGACTAATTGTTTCGAAATCAAAACAAGTCGTAAAATTTATACACTCAGCACATCCGCATCTTCGACGAATTATATCCGTGGCGCATTTCAAGCACATTTCTACGACAAATATATAATTTCGACAGCAAATAAATTTTTCATAAATTCAAAAATAACAATAATAACAAAACAAAAATAACATAACATTAATATTGTAATTTCCCACATAACTATGTAAGAATTACATAACACGCGCGTTACACTGCATTTACATTGTTAAGTAGGAAATTACAACATTAATGTTGTTACTGTTAATTGGTGTCCACCAGGAGATATTTTTCTCCAGCAACTTCTGTTTTTCTATTCCTATTCTCTCTATTTTTCGCCAGAACTTTTATAACAAAATTTTTCAACAATCTATCATCAAGACGCGCGTACACTAGAAAATTTATATAAGCTGGGTGTGACAAATTTGCGCAAGTTTGAAACACGCGAGAGCGGGGTTATTCACAACCTACCCTGTCATTTGATTGAAACACGATTGCGCAGCACTGGACGTGGTTCTTTACGGGGCGCATTTCGTGGGCATGAAATTAGCGGGCATGATCTTCATCGCGGTCGGTTTCTTCCTCGTGATGTTCCCGGACAACTGGCCGGACTACATAACGAGGCTACTCCGGTACGTTTCTCTCAAAGTCCGTCTTCTGTACAATGCGGTTCTGTGGTATGCACCTACCTTTAATTCGGAGTTCATTTGATTTATCTTAGTCTTTAGTTTCTCTCTCTAGCGAATTCTACGTACGTTCTACATGCGATTCTACTTCTATACATCTCTCTTTTTATACTCTCTTGCAACACGATATCGGACTGTTTCCTACCTTGTTTTGCACCAGGATAGAGGCAGCGCGTAGTCTCTCACTCAAGTAGGATGTGCTTGACCTATATTTATTACTTACCTTCTTTACACTCCGCCTTCATTTCGACGATCTCTCTCTCGGAAGCAAGTACAGAGTGTTAACGCGAAAGCGCATTTCTCATTTCCTCCCGTTGATGGATCTCGCGCGTGCGCGCGCTTAATTGCACCGTGATTGACGCGCCGTCACATTCAACGTGGATCCCATCCCATTCGCCGCGCGAAACGTCGTCGTCGTCGATCAAACGCGATCATCGATAAATAGGCGTCGGGAATTTGTCGCAAAGCGGCTATGCGGAATATCATTATTTCGCCGCGCCGTCGCCATTCCGTCACTCTCTCGCGATCTGCCCTTTCCGTTCCTGAAGGGATTCCCCAAGTTTCGCGACCTGGACTTGCGTCGCGACGCGATTCTCACTGCAGTTTATTTTGCGTCCACATTGATTACACTTTGCAGCTTCGCAGTCACTCGTCACACACCCGACGACACCCTTCAGACCACGCAAGAGATACTTCTTTCCGCCGCGTGTAGATAGCTCACATCATCTCTCACGCAGAGCGAGTTTTCGTCGTGCGTACACAGAGAAAAATATTATTTGCACTGCGAAGAAAAGCAGTTTACTCCGTTTATTTTTCTCCTTTTAAGTAATGGCTGTCTTGGAACAAAAAGAATATTTTTGAGATAGTATTAAAATATACTCATCACAAGTAAAGCTCATTATCATATATTATCGCTCATAAGGAGAAATTGTTCTCTTTCCGAGAATACTATAAACTTCATCGATGGAAAGTTAAATTCAGTTAATAGAAATAAATAAACGGAAGCTTTAGTTTTAGCGTTTTAATTTAATATTCTTGATTTAAGTGCTAAATTTACTAGGATTCAGAATATATTTCGAATAAATTTGATTGCAGATCTATACCTGTTTCAAGTATATCATAAGTTCATCATAAGCACATAAAAAATTTATCCAAAATATATTCTCAATTCTTGTAAGTATATTTTAATCAAGAATGTTAAAATACTAAAACTAAATATTAAAAGACCAAAACTAAAGCTTCTGTTTAGTTACTCCGATTAACCTAATTTAACATTCTCCGATAAAGTTTATAACATTCTTGAAAAGAGAACAATTTCCTCTGTTGAGTAAACGATGATGAACTTTTCTAATATTGTGATGAGTACGTTTTAATATTATTATTAAGAAAATATTCTTCGTTTAAGATAACCATTACACAAAAAAAGAAAAATAAACCGAGTAATTGCTTTTCTTTGCAGTGCAAGTAATATTTTTCCGTGCGTAGCGCAGTTCTCTTTCAAATTTAGAGGCGACTCGCGCGCGCATCTCGTCACATCACTTCAAAAAGAACAAGGGAACAAAGGGAACATTAAAGACCAGCAGTAATATTGTTTTGCAGGATGCCCGGAATATGTGACCGGTTTAAAGTGTAATTAAAAAAAAAAGAAACGAGTATGTTTTGTAGCGACATACGAGCGGTTACGCGACCGGCGTAAAGAGCTCAAAGATAACGCACAGTCCTCCCGTAAGATACCAGTGATACGTTTTAGATACGTCGTGAAGTCGATCAATGTAAGCAGAAACTTTTTCGTCTAGCTTCCCCTCTCCTGTTTCGATATTTTTCTGGACTTGGTCGCTTCGAAAGCAGTGCCTCTGATGCGTTACATTGAAACGAGTCTCGCCTTCGCTATGTTTTTCATACGGCTCCGCAAACAACCAATGAAAGAATTCGAAATTGTTCCAGGAGGTTTTGATAATTTTAATAGAAGTTTTGTTAGAAATATATACATTTTTCATATGTGTTATTACATATTCTTGTTTTTATCTTCTTTCTTTGGTTTTTTTATTCCAAGACTCAAGAGTCCACGAATTTATTTCTCTGCAAATCTCAACACGTTGGATTCCCCTTGGGTTTCGTTTTACGACTTGAAGAGACTTATTTGAATGTTAGCCTTCGTCCTTATATTCTAATAATTGCGCAAAGTATTCGTCGACAGTCGGGAAATTTGTTCGTTGGATTATATAACAAAGTTACACATTATTCGGCTCTTAGAACTTGATTGTTTAGATAGAAAATTTGAGTTGGATAAAGAAACGACTGATTTGCTTGAGCTGCTTGTTGTATTGTCTGTGAAATCAACGTCGACACTTCATCACTCGCTTCCCACAACAATCAGGATCCATTATATGCTGTTACAGAAACATAGTCCTCATGAGTCACAGTGCAAGGTAAGAAAATACATCCCATACGTCTTGCTCTGGTTCTACTGAAAATTCATCCCTCTTGTTCCTTCTGTCATTCACCATAAATTCTCACCGCAATCAAAATAGCTCTCTTTGGATAATTTCGCGCATGAAAGTGCATATATTCGACAAGTCGAAGGTGAAGTGTATGATGGAGAATTAAAACGCAAGTTATTGAGTCTCGCAATTAAAAATAATTCACCCGGCGACAGGTTGTCGCATTTCTCGAAATGACAGATATCGCGAACAAACAATTAGTAGAAAAAAAAAAACGATCATTCTTCGAAGTGAACAATTAATATTCTACTGTGTCGCAAATTACACAGATTACTCTCCGCTCAAAATATATATCAGAAAGCATCGAGGCATCGACGAGCAACGTTCAACTGTCTGACAATGCCACTTGTTTGTCCTCGATGAATTTTCCGTAAAAGAGCAAGCGCAATAAATGTCGATAAGCGCATGATTTATGATATTCTTTCCATTTCTTCCATTCTGCATGCGTACGGTTGAATCTAGCTTACCCTTCTCACGCTCGCAACTCTTAAATGCGAACGGCACGCCTCTTTTTCACCCTCCCCCCTTCCCCGGTGCCATTTTTACCTGGTCATGCATCGCGTGTCTGTATAAATATAGGTAAATGCAACCCTTATTCGAGATCCGAATGATCGAGTACGCGCGTCATCGACGGGACGGAGCGCGCGTTAGATTCAAAATCGATCCCTCCGCTGTACCTCGAGAGTCTCGCGAGATTGCTTGCTTGACGGTTTCGTGCTCGTAAAGCATCCTGGAACGGTGTATCTATATTGCCCTTAATATATTACACACACATATATATATATATATGTGTGTGTGTATATATATAACTTAGTCGCGTTTCTTCTTGTCTGTTTGCCCCCACGTTTGTCCCGCCTGTCTAATTAGCGAGCCGTCGCCGCGCGACGGTCCCCTCGATTAAGAAACTCCGCAGGGAAAAAAGCGAAAGAAAATAAAACGGACGGAGAGATAAATAGAAATGAGTAACGAAAAGTAAATAATAATAATGCCAACGAGAGACTCCCCCGCGTCGCCCGGTCGAGGTACATGCCGGCCGAGAGGAGCCACCCGCAGATGCCGTCCCCCGCATGGAGATAATCGAGAGACCGACTGATGAGAGCCTCGCGATTGATATGTATATACGCAGTACCTCGGAGGGCCAGCAAGGACGCAGGAGCGTCGTTAGGAGCCGCACCGCGTCCCTTCAGCAACGCCAGCACCGGCTGAGGAGCTACGGCGTCTCCGCCGCGCACGGCGACGGCCAGACGCTGCTACCGATCAGCAACAGTAACAGCAACAGCAGCAACAGTCAACAGACCATCGTAGGCGGCGGCGGTGCCTCTAATCGGCACCTTAACAACTCGCAACAACAGTACAGCTCGACCTCCGAAACCCAACCGCGCCGTGTCCTTCCCTCTACCTCAACCTCCACCTCGACCTCGACCACCGTCGTCGGTAACAGCCACCAGTTGGCGATGCCACCGTACCTCGATCCTCGCAATCAGCAAGGTATGAGAACGATCAGGCTGGTGGCGTCGAAGCCACGCGCGACGCGGTAAGGGAGAGAGAGAGAGAGAAAGAGAGAGAAGAGAGATCAGGTAGGAATCTCGCGCGGGACGATCGAGACGGATCGAGCGTGGTGTTGAGATCTAGTGGCTGGCGATCTCCCAGTAGCCCGCTGTCTTAGACGTGTTTTTTTTTTCGTTTGTTGCCGCGATATCGCTCGTTTGAAAGGAAGAGAGAGAGAGAGAGAGAGAGAGAGAGAGAGTGTGCTGGATGGAGCAATCGAGTAAGGTGCGAGCGAGCTAGTTAGCTAGCGAATGGCAGTCGCAAGTCGTTTCGAGATCGCTGAGTATTGAGCTGCGATTGTAATGCGATGTGGCTGTCTGAGCTAGAGGCTAAATGATCGGTGTAACTTAGCGCAAATGCTGTGCGTTGATAGCGTGGATATGCAGGATGTCCCGGCGGTATATCGCTGTTCCTGCCTCTTCTTCGATTGAACTTTGCGGCCCATCTTCCGCAAGCTTGAAAATGTTTTTTTTTAATATGAAATATTAGTATTAAATATTAATTAATCAGTTTAATTAATTTAGCCAGTTATTATATTTATTATAATATTATAGTACATGTTATATATTATGATATATATTATATTTATTATTATATTATAACATAATATTGTACTTTTGATAACCAAATGGGCATAAGTCGAGACGAAATCCATTTGAAAGCTAGTAAACATCAATCAACAGTAAACATTGCATCAGTGTTATAATTTCTTACTCAACAATGTGCTATATATCACATGCGTTATATATAACGGTTACATTGTTGAGTGAAAAATGATAATATCGATGTAATGTTACTGTTAGATGGTATTTACTGAGAAGATGTTGATAAAGTTCGCTCTTCTACTAAAGATTCGTCGAACATCTTCGTTCTCTGTCGTTTGTAATTTTGAAGACACTCATAATTTCTATATTTTTCTGATTTGAGAGGAAACTCAATTTCGAGTTGATCGGAAATGATAAATGTACAACACAGCGATGGTCGCGGGGCATTCTGCATATCGATATGTGACAGCACATGCGTGCGATAGGGAATGTCTTTTGCAGAGCTCCCAAATCTTTTGGCATCTACTTATCCGTAGCTCATAGTGATTCCCCTTTAGTATTCCTGTGTTTCGTGAATGTTTCAGGTATTCGTGAATGTTCTAAGTATCTCGTCTTTATTTTTATTACATATATAGTCGGTGTGTGTACGCGCGCGTGCGCGCGCGCGCGTTCTTGCGTGTGCCGTACACATTTTTGGAATGAAGCATCGCGACGTGTGTAAGCTGCTCGATACTTGACGGAATAATGACTGTTGTGACACTCGTCAACCGCATCTCTCGCGAAATGAACGGATAATCCCGCCAGTCGGTCGTGCTCTATCGGGAGGTCTTTTGTTGTGTTAAATATTTCTCGTGTGACAATGGGACATCTGTGACTCTTCGCGACGGATGTGAACTCGGTATCATAGCGTGGGGATTTTCTAAAAACACACACAAAATCAATGTGATAATCGTCGGAGAGTAAGACGCGTTTTTCCAAATTTTTCGCTTTTTACATTCACGCGAAATATTTTCTTTTTATTCGGAGGTATTAGAAAAGAGAGAGAACAAAAAATATATCAATTAAATTGAGAAGTAAAGTATATATAAATTAAATTTTCAAGTTGTTTATTTCTTAAACGCGATATGCTGAAAGTCTTAATATTTTAGATTAACGCTGATAAACTTTAACGTAATCTCTGAAACGCGATAACAAATCTCAAGAGGCTGTCGTTTGAATAAAACACGTAGTGAATCGATTGGAGAGGGAGAATAAACGCGGAGAAATTAATGAAGAATATCGGAAAGTTTCCACGTGCACGACTTTTCTTCGATCGAGTCGACGAGAGACGATAAACGCGCTCTGCATGCTGAGTAATCACCGACCGCCGTTAGAATCAGCCTGAAATAACGCGCCTTTCACTTTCGCAGGTGGAGCAGGAGACACAGGCACGGCATGTCAGGTGGATCGTCGCGCGACGTGATCGATTACCGAACCGGTTACATAAAGTCGCACCTACGCTCGCCCTCTGGAAGAGTTCGGTGACTAAACACACCGCTCAGAAGCGAATCAATAATTAAGAGATCGTGCTGGCGGATCATGAGCGAAATAATAGACCATTTGGCCGGCGATCCGACGGTCAGAGCTTTCCTCAAGGTGTAAACGCGAATTCAATTCGATCGGAGGAAAAGAAAAACGCTCGCCCACTTGAGTCTTCAAGGCGACGTTTCAGAGTGAGTGACGCTTCAGCGTCTTCTCACAGCACCGACGTTGATTATCCTCGACCGTAGTTCGATTGACTTTTCGTCTCTTCCCGACTCTCGCATGTCGGAGATACCTCTCGTGATGTTAGAGCGAATTAATTAAATACCGTGCTCGACAGGCTGCGAAACGGTGTGACCTGAGAATACCATCACGTCGGCGACAGTCAGGCGACTGGTAGAGTTTTCTCCGGTCTGTATTTCATTACGGAAGGGATCGCGAGGGAACTTGATACCGTGCAGTAATAAAGTAAGCAATAACGAGGCTGCGAAGCCACATCAGCGTAATAAAGGTGAGCTCGATCTTGAGGCTCCTGCTTCCCGATTGTGCTCATACTGTAATAATCTCAAGTGAGAAATTAGTAACATCAGCAGCAAGAAATCGCGTGGATTTTTCCCTCGCACTGTCTCGAGTTGAAATTTTCGTTCCGTGTTTATTTTCACATACACGTTTCATCGGTGGATTTCATCGTATCTGTCGGACCAATGGAGAATCTAAAGATATAACGCTTCACAGGCTGTGTTGTCTTAACTTGATGCTACGAATGTACCTTGACGATACACGGGAAAAATTAGTATCAATTCGAGACTCATATTATCTATATAAGAAGGAATATATAATCTTATATATGAAGATAAAAATTGCTCTTGCATGAAAAAATTCTATAGAATTCCACTAAAAGTACTATATTCTTGTTATTCAAGAATAATTTTTATGAATTGAGAGGAAAAATATTGGATAAAAGGGCTGAGAAATATATCTTCTAAATTGACATGATACAATTCTTAGTTCGAAAATATTGTTTTTTCTGTCCAATATTTTTCCTCTCAATTTATACAAATTATTCTTGAATAACAAGAATATGATACTTTTAGTGGAACTGTATAGAATTTCTTTATATAAGTAAATTTTATCTAACATATAAGACAATATATAAAATTATATGTTGCTTAAATATAAAAATATGAGTTTGAAATTGATACTAAATTTTTTTCTATGTACTAATGTGAATTACTTACTGCCGTTTTCTTCATATTAGGACTTATACGGTGTGTCCCAGCCCAGCAAGCATGATGACATAATAATGACATTCGTGACGTCGCTAATACGTCACTTAACGTTCTTAATACGTCATCGTATATTTAGTACGCTGGTTCGGCGATTTTAAGTAACTTTCATTAAAAAATTATCATTTAAATGAGATTTTAAACGAGAAATAGCTTCGTTTGACAGCAGAAATCCTTTGGTGCATCCCGTATGCGGTTATTCTGGGACATCCTGTACATAAATAGGCATTTGCTTCAGAATTATTTGACGTTCGATTATCTCGATACTTTATCTACGTTGAATCTTCTCGCTATTTCTCGTTTTTGACGTGTCTTAATTTGATATGACCGCAGTGAAGGGAAACAGAAGCCTTGATTAAAATTAAGACCCGATCGTCGAAGGGAAAACGCGTCGGAAACATGTTTTTATTAAGAATAAAGCTCATTTTCGCGTCGTTACGTCAAAATCTCCCAGCTCGACGAAATTCGCCGGTTTCGGAGCCGCGCGAGTTGAAAACGCAATTAGATGCAATTAATTGGATCGAGCTCCTCGTAATATTCGATTAGTATTTGCGTTAATAATCGACGCGACGTCGTCGTCGCCGACGGTGAAAGTTACAAACGGACGCGCGCAATACGTAAAGACAATCAGAAATAGCGAACTAGCTCCGATAGATCACATCCGTGCTCCGTGTAGATATCGTTCGTGGCGGTCTTTCCGTTGTCACGACGAGGAATTACGGAATGCCGTTTTATTATCACGACACGCGGTTCGTACGTGTTTACCGACGGACTCGCAGCGAGATACTCATCCCGCGAAATTAGCGTAACGTCACAGGGTGAAATATAATAGATTAGTCTTACCTCTACAGACTCGAGCAATAAATTTCCAATCGTCTACCATAGTGTTCCAACGAGCGTCGCAGTTCGTGACGTCCGTAAAGGCCAATCACACTAGCAGCGATTGCCGTTTCAATTGCGATTGCGATTGACGGTTACTTTCCAATTGGTCAAAGTAAAGCAGCCACTGATTTATTCTGACTGGTCGAAAAATAATCGTCAATCGTAATCGTAATTGAATTGGCAATCGCTAATGCGATTTGGTCTTAAGAGGAAGCGTGTGAATTCTTTAAAGAACGAGAGGGAGATGGTCAATACGCGAAGAGGACTCGGTTCGTGGCGGCTCAATTTACGATATATCGTTCCCGTCGTTGTTGTTCCCGAATCTGAAGAATGCGAGATAGGATGAACTACGCATAATCCGACGAATATCAAGCTCTGCGATTTCGAAACTACAACCGCGTAGAGTCTCGGCGAACTCGGAACAAGGATTTCCACAATGAATTAATTTAATGGAGGAAAACGTGAGTTTATGTATTAAATATACATAGATTTTTATAAGAGAAGAGTCGTTCTCGAGAAAAAGAAAGGATTTCGTAAAATTATTTCACCGATGTGTCATTCTCTTAAACTAATCTCAATCTAATTGTCCTTACGCGCGTTACTCGTAACGCGATGTAATTAGTTTTCACTCGATGCTACTCGATTATCATTACTCGATATAATCGATGCATAGTTACGACGAGTATCGTCTATAAGTTTTATGTGTAAGTTTTAACATTGGATTAAATCAAATGCGTCGGTGCGCATGTCGACGGGTTTATTTCGTTTGTACGTATATATTGTCAATTACACGGAAATATTACTTAAACTACGGCGATTGCACGATGCGACAATTACAGTCGCGGCATTCGTTGTAAGGTATATTACGATATAGAGATTCTAGTTAAACGTTGACATACAAAGTATTACGGAAGCTTGTGAAGCGAATGTGATGTGTCTCAACAATAAATCTAGTTTAGTAAGAACACCACCTTGTCTGTCATTCTCTCCTCCACCTTTCTCCAATGGCCGAAAACTGCAACCTTGCGGGCGTCAAAATCCGCGCTCGGACTTCATATCAAACGAGAAATCCCGCTGTCTCAATTTAACAGAGAAGATCCGACAGTTCGCGAATTCAAAAAAATGTGACCTTGAGACTTTGCAAAAATAAAGCACGTTTGAATTTAATAACAATATGTAATAATAGCTATGTAAAATTATTTATTTATTTATTCACGGGAAATACCTTTTGATTTATAAAGAAAAGAGAAACGGAAGAAAAATACAACAAAAAATACAACAAAAATATCAACTAAAATTTAAATTTCAATATAATAATAATTAATTAATAGTCGTAATGAGAAAAATTTAAAATGAGTGGGCATGAGTCAGACTGAACGTCTGAAGACACTAGTTGCGTTGTGAAACATAAATAGTGTCGGAAAATTCACTAGCCAACATACAAATCCGATGAGTTGAGTTGAAACAGTCATAAATTGTGTGAAATTCAATAAGAAAATAAAAGACATTGCTTGAATGACGGACTTATATAAGATGGCGTATGTGAATCAAGGCTTGGAGAATTTTGGGGCAAATTATTTTATGATTAAGCACATTAAATATAAAGAACAATATTCGTCGAAAAAATTTATTTTATTCGTCTGTTTTCCATCGTTAAAAATTCATGACTCATTAATTCAGGAAGATATTTATAATATAATGATGCTGACATAAGATCATTTATGTTATTAAGGATTATAGGAGAATTATTTTCTGTTTTAGGTAAAAAACAGTTTCAGAATATGAACCAAGCTATCCTCATAAGTGCTACTTGAACTTGGTGCGACTTTACGGAACTCTTCACGCGCTTTTGCGCGTCGGATGTATAGGATGTTCAATCTCGGATAGATCAGGCGGGTGTTTCTCGGCGTAACTGAGTTCTTCCATCACTTCTTGCGCTATTTTCCAAAGATCGGGATACTTTTGCTTAAAATTATCATACCATTTTGCAACAAGGGGCCACGCATCCAACTTGAAATCGATAGCTTCTAGGCACATCGTCGCGGCTATCAGCGACAAGTCAGCGATAGTCAAATTATCTGTGAACCCATGTACGTATGGAAAAATGATAAGATTATCGACCGATCGATCGCAAGATTCGAATCGAGTACAATCGGATTCTCTGACAAAAATGAATTTCGTGCGCGATTTAATTAAATTTAGACGAACTATTTAATTCCGAAATTGTTTAACTTACTATTCAATTCCGAAACGCATAAAGTTAAAAATCGAAATAAAAATAAAATGAAAGTGGGAGTAAAGACAATAAGGTTCATACTGACCGCCCGCCGCGTACTCGCAGTTTCCGCGCTGCAAGTACGTGTTGAAGACGTTCAACGCCATTTTCATTTTCTTCAGACCGAGCGGGATGCGCTGGTAATCGTAGAACATCGGTAATAACTGCGGACACGCGATCAGAAGGATCAATGTCTGAATCTACTCGAGGAACGTACAGAAGAGAAAAAAAGAAATAATTAAATCGATGCACTTACAACATATTCGACAATGTTGTGATAATAAAGCGCCAAGTTGAAGCACAGACGGTGATTGATGATCGCTCGCAATTTGTTATCTTTCGGATATAATTTGCCGCTCGTGTCATACTGATCGGCTAAATACTGCAGAATGGCATTGCTGCAACGTGTTCCGTGATATGAATGATTCAACAGCCGTAAGATATTATTTATAATTTATAATCAGTATCCCACTCTGTTTAATTCCGCGTCGCAGCATGCAATTAATGTCGCACTTATATCCTCACCTTCGCGCAAAATAGTAACTTAGCGAGCGAGACGTTCCTTTCTAAGCTGACAATCCACTGATTTTCTATCTGATATTAATTTACCAGTTTGTACAATCCACGATTTCTCGAATAATTCCGCGTTGCGGCGCGCAGTTAATGTCGCGCCTATACTTTCGAATTTCCGATTTAGTAAAAAGCTGTTGTTTGTTTCTCAAAACTTCCAAAAACTCTTAGAAGAACTTTCCAATATTTATATTAAATATATTTAATATATAATTGCTCACCTTTCGCCCATGATAAGATCACCGTCGACCAAAGTGGGTATCTCTTTTTGTGGATTGAGCTAAGGGAAGAGGAACCAGAGATTTTTACACGCGTTTTATTCATCGCTACAGTCGAAATGTTTATCCTTATTCTTTAATTAAATACCTTCTCGTACTCCTTCGTCAAGTGCTCGCCCTTCCCGAAATCCACATTAATCAGTTCAAAATCGATCTTCAGAGTTTTCAAGAGCATCCTGCATGCCAGAGACGGCGGCCCATCCGAAACGGAATACAGCTTCATCTTGTGTATTCGCGGGATACGATATAATTCGCGGGACTCAAGTGCAGAAGTTAAACGCGACTGAATTTACACGTTAAACAAGATCAACTGCAAGCACGACCAAGCAATTCGCGACTGATAAAATATTAGCAGTGAAACACTTTCCTTTCGCCAGCCACCTCCCCAAGATTCATAACGATAAGGCGTGATTGCAGTGATATATCAGGTGTAGAAGTATAAAACCGGAATTTTTTTGTAAAAATTACACGTCTGTTGTTTGAAAATGATAAAAAATATTTTATTCAAAATAATGTCCATTGCTATTTATACATTTTTCCCACCTCTCCGGCAGTTTATGAATGCCACGCCAAAAAAACATTTCTTCTTTTGAAGCGAACCAGCTGTCGAGCCATTTTCGTACATTTTCATACGAATTGAAGCGTTGTTCAGCGAGAGCGTGTCCCATTGATGCGAATAGATGATAATCGGACGGAGCCAAGTCTGGAGAATAAGCCGCATGCGTTAGTATTTCCCAACTGAACGCCTCGATCGTTTCCCTGACCCGTTTTGCTGTGTGTGATGGGGCATTATCATGGAGCAAAATGACTTTGTGTTGCCTTTTTCCATATTCCGGTCGTTTTTCACGCAATGCTCGATTTAAATCGATCATTTGCTGTTGGTAGCGATCAGTGTTAACGGTTTCACCAGGTTTTAGCAGCTCATAATAGATTACACCCTTCTGATCCCACCAAACACAGAGCATTGTCTTCTTTCCAAAGCGATTGCAGTGGATGTCGATGGTTCGCCTGGATTCACCCATGATTTCTGACGCTTAGGATTCTCAAAATATATCCATTTTTCATCACCTGTCATGATACGATGGAGAATGGACTTTCTTTTGTATCTGTCGAGCAGCATTTCACAAGTGGTTTTTCGATTTTCTTGCTGTCTTTCATTCAGTTCATGCGGAACCCATTTTCCCACTTTCTGAATCTTTCCCACGGCTTTCAAACGAATTGAGACAGCTTTCTGCATCACATTCAATTCATCCGCGAGTTCTTGTTGAGTTTGAGTATCATCTTCATCCAATAAGGCTTGCAATTCGTTGTCTGCGAACTTTTTCGGTGGTTTCCCACGCTTTTCGTTTCTCACGTCAAAATCACCACTTTTGAATTTTTTGAACCACTCGAAACACTGTTTTTTACCAAGAGCATGTTCACCGTAAGCTTCGACAAGCATTCGATGCGATTCTGCAGCAGTTTTCTTCAAATGATAACAAAAAACCAATGCTGTCCACAAATCGTAGTTCGTAGGCACAAAACTCGACATGTTTAAAGTTATAGAAAAATATACCGGTGTATGGAACTTGGGTTGTTGTGTGTTGAAAATCTTCGTCGGCTATTAGAAGGAGATGATGGCGCTGCAGAAGCGGTCTTACGGTCCCTAAACTGATGGCTAGCACCATCTATAGGGAAATTCCGGTTTCATACTTCTACACCTGGTACACATTGGAACGAGGGCCCGGTAGATTCGTTATCTTATTATTTAATTATTTTAACAAGTAGTTAAGCATTCGATGGTAACATATGTAATGAGTCGAAACGAATAAATTTCTGCTCTTATTTACTGATGGAAAATAAGAATCTAAAATAAAAAATTGATAATTGGGTTACGTTTTTTTGACATTTTTGAAACTTATTCATGTTCTTTGAGTAATTCTTTCATTAAAGATTGTATATTTAGGTATTTTAATTACGTATGTGCGAGAACGTTTTTTAGTAATATGTGTGGTACTATAAAAATACTAGCGACACACTTGAGAATATATTATATAATTTATTTAGAGTCTCGTATTATCTCGTCGGGGATGTAATGTTAATCGATAAATTAAATATCAATCGTCAATGCAGGAACACATAATAGTGACTATACTGGATATCAAATTGTATTGCTGCAGTAACTCGTCGCCGAATCGTCTATTCGTCGTACAAAAAGGTAGTAAGAAAAGAAAGTATACGGCCGAACGTCACGAAACTCGCAGATGTATCCCGCATCTAAAAAAATTGCGAACTATAGTAACTATAATAACGATAAATTATGTTAACACCCAGATAAACAAAAATGCTACACATATGGTATGTAAATATTTAATGTATGCTTTGTGATATCATTTTGATGTCAATAATATCCAGATAGATAGAAATGCTACACATATGGTGTGCGAACATTTAATGTATGCTTTGCGATATCATTTTGATGTCAATAGAATATGTTTGAAATATGCTTGTTTTAAGAAATACTCATTTATTATGTCATTTTAATCAAGGTACTGACTTCTTACTACTTAATAATTCCGGATTAATTGCGTTTTCTTTCGGACAAAATAAGCAGCAGTATTTATGACATCAGAATATCGCCGTAATTTTCGCGACATCAAGACGATCTTTTGTATACTGATAAAATGCTTATTGTATGAAGGCGCATCTTAACATACTTATGCTAATCACGTTGCAAATAATACTCTGATGGAAATGTTATGTTGAAAATTTTACCGAAATTCTCTCCCAATTGATCCCATTTCATTATCATTTCGTAAATGTAGTTACGCAGCTTTCAGTTGAATTCAATAAATATATATAAGTAAATATATATATTTTAACTTTGCTTATATTAGAATAATGGAATACTAGGTGCTTGATGAACTGTGAAATGAAATGAAAATGACTGAAGAATCATTGAAATATATAATAATAAATATTTCAAAACCGATTATAATTTTCATCATAAAATTCAATGTAATGCCGTGAAATATAATGCAAATTAAAATATAATTTTGAAAAGTAATAAAAAATGTTTGAAATATTGGATATCGTGAAATTTATTGAATTAAACTGAAAACTGCGTATATTAATGAAATGGAGTCAATTAAGAGAATGTTTCAGCAAAGTATTTTCATCAGGGTATATCGAAATATGCTTATCTGAGTAAATGCGTGTGAAATTATTGAGTTGTTCGACAAGTTCGTAGGGAATTTTGAGAAGGATTTGAGACTGATATTTCTATAATTGGTCATAACTTTATTCAATAATATATTGATCGATTTTTTTTCCGATGACATAAGGTCATCGGGAAAAAAATGGAAAAAAGATCAGGTTATACTTGATTATGGAAATTTCAGTTGTGTGTGTTTATAAAAATCCCTATGAAAACCTATCGAATACAACCGAATAAAAATTGCTCTCTGTACACTACTATTTTTAACGAGACACAGCAGGCATCTGCAAATTTCGCACCAGGTACGCAAGGAGGAACACTCGCTATAATCTCCTTCTAATAATCCTTGACGACTTTGCTTCTCGCTAGATCTGTAATGCCGGTGTGCTGTTTGAGATTAACATACAAGCCTATATTGATATCTATCTATATATCGTATCTATATATCCGTGAAGTGCGCACACACATTCCACATTGTCACATATTACAATAGCGTCAATGATCAATTTGAAAGATAAAATAATGCTCGTACTTCGGATATATATACAATACGTACACACATACGTACGTACCTACATACATACATACATACATACATACGTCCGTCCGTCCGTCCGTCCGTCCATCCATTCCATATATACATATATATTATACATATATATACATACACGCGTGCACGTACATACATCAAACAGACGTCAGATAAAATTGCGGGAATTGGAAAGTTTACGCATCAAAGAATCAGAACCGTAATTACAGCGTGGCAGCGGGAGCTACTATGTCATTCGCTGAAGTATATTGCACGTGATATGTTACGCTCGCGATGGAATATACCTCGTTAATATATTATTCAATATCACATGAAAACGTTTCCGCATTCGATCTCTCGAACTTCGCAAAACTCCAGAGAAGAACGCCTCGGGAATACGCGGACAAATTGCACGTCAAATACTTCACAATGAGTTAGTTTCTCATACGGTTATTTCGCGTGTGTTAAGAAAATACTCGCTATATAAGAAAAGAAAATAAAAACTGTTAATCGCACGATAGATTCAAGAAAGGCGCAAAATTCATTCGAGTTTTTCCTCGTGTTCGTAAACAACACAGGCGGAACATAAAAACATTCTTCCGACGTGTGACGTATTTAATAACAATAATATATCTCGTAACGCATGTCGAATTCATTTTATAAATGCTAATTGGCTGGCGATATAACGATGTGTAGTTTGAGCATGTCCTTGTTTGGGCCCACCAAGAAAGGAGACACCGCGTTTTCCGACACCGATCCCTGCTGCGGATTGAGCTCCTCGAACGGCAGGAGATCGTCCAAGTTGAGAACGCGATCCTTCTTGCTGAATCTGTGAATGATCTCGGTGACTCTCGCGATGTGCTCGACGCCGTCCTGCAAGCCGTAGATCAGCACACCTATCTTCACGCGCATATTGCTGTTCACTGGCGGCTCCTTGCACGTCAACGACAGCCTCACCGAGCGTTTCACGTGCTCCGGCATCTCCACCGTACCTTGCCACACTATGAGGAAAAACTTCTTGAACCATACGCCCTTCGGATAGATATCGACGACCCATTCGCACGCCCTGTCGCCCGCGTATTCCGCCAGACTCGAGTGGCTGGAGAAGACGAGAGTTCTCGTGTGATAAGATGGCAGTCCGTGGAAATTCTCGATAGTCAACAGCGAGCTGCACGTGTCGACGGTGTAGAGCCTCGGCTCGAACAACAGCGCGCCGTCCTCTTCGCTCAGGCTCACTTCTCTTACCCGGTCGGTCTGGCCTGAATGGAAGGACATGCCAATCGACATGCGTTCCACGAAGAATTCTTTGTACTTTTTCGTCAGCGGCGACAGCAGCAGATCCGCCAGCTGTCGCGGCGACATCATCGGAAACCTGACGGGCGACATCACGGCTATCACCAACTGGTGCAGCGTGGCCTCCAGCTCGTCCGCGGACAGTTGCGCCCTCAATCGATACGCCTGATGATCCAGCCACGATTCTAGGCACTTGTAGAGTGTCATCTCGTCCTTCACGACTAAGCTACTCTGGTGCAACAACGACACCAGGATATCCAGGTCAAAGTTGCCGAAGTCCGGAGTCTTCGCCACAAGCTCGAGATTCCACTTGACGAAGTTTTGGCACGCTTGGCTGATGTCTTGATGGCCACAATTGGATGTGTACTGCAACCACGACACCAGAGTGCCGTGTATGGCAGCCAGTGCGATGTGATTCTGCATGTAATCAAGGCACAACGATATCAAATCTTTCACGTTGTACTTATCGGCTAGGGACAGTATCGGCAGCACGACACTGTAGTTGATCCTTATCTGGCCAGTGTAAAAGTAACGCAGAAATTCGCTGAATATTGGCGCGCACTGAGGCGTTTCCTGGAGAGTTACCCTGCTTTCCTGAGACTCGCTCCATTGTGGACTCATTAGCATCACCTGAAGCAGAAAAAACAAAAGATACCAAGTATTAATTTTTCATTCCGTGATCATTATTACCGTTTACTAACACATACCTCCATGACTAAATTAGATTACTTTCCACCAAAAAGCACAAGTTTATATATGTCTAGTTACACCAAATATTATCTTTTTTTTTTACCAAGTGTGAAATAAGGACAAACGATATAATTAGATTTGTCAACTGTGTCAACTTGTGTCTCTTACTGACAAAGTAACCTTAGTTTAACTCGCTTTTTTGAAGGAATAGTGTGATAAAAGCACAAATATAAATGCTTTGAAGTGCCAAATAGAATGATGATAACGATGCTTGTGAATACTTTTAACATAAAAGCAAGCTAGATAAGTTCGGCCTATTACTCACTTGGAAAACATCACTAGAAGCACAAAGTATAAGTCGATGCGCCGGATATTCCACACCGTCAACAACAAGACAAATGTCATTCATAAGACGCTCCGCATACAGTGTTGCTATCTTTAGCAGAACTGTACGTGAATTGTCCACCTGCAATTGGACCAATTCTTAGTACATTATATTTTCATAAATTCAGTAAAAGAGAATTCAATTACCTCTATCGAATCTGAACTTTCAGCCTCTGCAACAGTGTGCTGACTGCTGGTAGCCGCCTCCAGTTTCTTGCCGGAGTCCATCCCTGAAAAACCTGTCATCCACCTAAGAGTACTCCGTAACATCTGCACATGTCTCCTATGCGTAGTTATGTTTCAATCGTTGCCTCACATTGCGGAGGATAAAACCTTACAGTAGAAAATATATTCTCTTGGCAATGTTTTCCATTATCTTCACTTGGCAATTAAAGCTTTTCACTGAGGGAATTGTACCTGCGTGCAAATTAAATTCTATGAAAAATTAGCCTTCATAATAAATGCTCCTACATACATTCAGCTGATAATGTCGCAACAATATTAGCGACCGATAAGATCGAAGTCATGCAACTGAGGTTAGATCGTAACATTGTTACAAACAATACATTTTCTGATACTGACAACCGAGAAGCTTCTGATCTTACCTAAATAAGTTTGTTGGAGGGCAGTTCGTTTAGCACAGTTGGCGAATATGTTGAAACTTCAAGTTTCAATATTTTTCGTAACTTGAACGCTACCTAATTTCGCGATGGTATCTTCCTCTTGTTATCACCGTTAGAGTAAACGATAATACGCTCGTTATTGTATTTATTTTTATTATTATGCTATTATTATTATATTTGTGTATAACGATTATAACCCGAACATTACACTCACGAATGACATTTCGAAGAGCTTTTTGAGAACGCGAGCGTACCTCTTTCGTTTTCAGGCTTTAGCTAGGAATATTACGACTTGTTAGTGATTTCCTGTATTTTTTTTATTAAGACTGTCACTCTGCGTTTGACGTCCAACGCATCGTAAACTACGTAACGCATCCAACGGGATCGAGTCTTGTGGTCTGTTCTTTTTAGCTGCACTACTCAACTGGTGCATTAAGTTAAGCCGGCGGCATACGGTGCTTATTTTCGTGCTGCACGAAACAAGCAACGTGTGCCGCTCGCTTTAGAATGAGACAAGTATATTTTATCTCGCTCTAACTTATTGCACCAGTTGAGCAGTGCAGCTAAAAAGAACGGACTACTGCTATTGTCTTACGGTTCTCGCAGCCAGCGCGATGGGTGACGCGTTATGCGACATGCGACGCGCAATATCCAATGAGTGTATTGCTTTTCCAAAAGAGCTGCACGCTCATTGGATATCGTGTCGCATGTCGCATATCGCGTTGCGCATCGCTTTGGTCCAAATCCAGCCATATACAAATATTTCAATATGTATATCACACCTATCGATCGTACCTGTCGCTTCTCTATTATTTTGAACTCTACAATGGGACAGCTCGCTTCCTAGGGACTTTAGCTCGTGAGTTATTGGGTATGAGAATAAGTTTCCGCCCATTGTAGAGAGATGTTGTTAGTAGCACTGCTTGAGTGTTTGATAAAACGGCAATACATGTATTTGAAAGATGTGCGTTCAAGATTTTGAGCCCAGTAGTTGGTATTCGTTCGAAGCGTAAACAAAAGTAATTTTTTTGCGTTGAAAATGTCGGGATTTATTCCAAAAAAGCAACATTTGCGGGAAGTTTTACTCCATTATTTTATTTTAAAGCGCAGTGCTGCGGAAACGTACCGTTTGCTCGTAGATATTTACGGTGAGCATGCTCCATCGAATACTACTTGTAAAGAATGGTTTCGGCGATTCAACAATAGTGATTTTGACGTGCGTGACAAAGAACGCGAAGGTGCGCCGAAAAAATTTGAAGATGCAGAATTGCAAGCATTATTCGAAGAAGATCCATCTCGATCGTTCGATGAGTTGTCAAAAGAATTAAATGTTGATAGATCCACCGTTGGAAAACGTCTACACGCAATGGTGCACGGGAATGGTGCAAAAAGAAGGAAATTGGGTACCATACAAACTGAAAGAGAGAGACATGGGAAGACGTTTGGTAACGTGCGAAATGCTGCTTCAACGACAACAAAGAAAGAGTTTTCTGCACCGTATCGTGATTGGCGATGAAAAATGGATATACTGCGATAACTCTAAACGCCCGAAAGCATGGGTGATGCCAGATAAAACCAGATCCATCAACGTCAAAACGGAATATCCATGCTTCGAAGGTTATGTTGTACATCTGGTGGGATCAAAGGGGTGTTGTATATTATGAACTGTTGAAACCGTCCGAAAGCATCACTGACGATCGTTATCGACTATAACTGATACATTTCAACCAAGCTTTGAAAGAAAAACGACCAAAATGGGACAATAGGAACGACAAGCTGATTCTGCTACATGACAACGCTAGGCCACACGTTGCAAAACCGACCAAGAAACACTTGGATGGAGTGAAGTGGGAAATTCTGCCCCATCCGCCATATTCACTAGACATTGCCCCTTCAGATTTCCATTTGTTCCGGTCCATGCAGTCGGCCCTTTCTGGAGAGCGATTCAATTCTTCGAGTTCTTCAGTTCTATGAAGATATAAAAAAATGGCTTGATGAATGGATCGCTTCAAAAGAACAAGATTTTTTCCTTCGAGGAATCTATTTATTACCTAAAAGGTGGGAGAGATTTCTCGCTCCCGATGGAGCATATTTTGAATGAACTTACTTTGTATTGTTTTGTTTAAATAAATACTTCTTTTTCATCAAGAAAGGGCGGAAACTTATTCCCATACCCAATATTTAAAAAGTTTCTCCTACTGGATATAGTAACATCGAACGAAGCTTCGAAAGCTGCGAAGAACGAGTGCGATGACGATTCAGTAATTCATGCATATATCTACTTCCGTTTGCATGAAAATTTATCTTCGATAAAGTAGATTCTTCGGGTTCGAGTCTGTACTATGCTAACTACTGAATCTGTCTCTTCAGGTCTCTTCTACATAAAAAAAAATTATATATATTTTTTTAAATATATATATATATATATATAATAAATCTCAGGGTTATCTCAGGTTCGTTTTTATAATATGTCTAATCGTATTTATTTGTTCATGTAGTGTAATAGTCGCTATACGTTTAAATACAGGTGATCATCTATTGCAGAGAAACGAATATACCAAAAAACTTAATAAATGTACACGCTATTTAAGTGTGGGTCTCTTTTAAATAGATACTCGATTACATCGTCCAACAAGAAGAAGAAAGGAGTGATAGCGTTAATATATATTAATTTCGTGACGTAAATACACACTCGACGAGTTGGAGAAAGGTGCCTTTCACGAAGCCGGCGAGTTTTCCCGCGTACGCAGAGCGGTGGTGACAGGTGGCAGGGTAAAGTTAAAGTACATAAACAAATAATAGGGGGTCGGTAGGGGGACAGGATATGGGGGGG